TGTGAGAAACTGAAAGTGTAAATAAGGACTAAAAGGTATAATAGATAATGTGAAATAGGAAGAAAAGGGGCAAAGGGAAAGAGGAAGTGGGAGGGGTAGGGGAAAGGAAAGAAGGGAATGGAATTAATATGAGAAAATGAAAAAAAGGAAACAAAGTCTTTGTAAATATGGAGGGCAGGGGAAGGGGGAAAAAGTAAGAACCATGAGAGTATGTAAAGGTGAAAATTTCCAATGATGAATGTCAGTATACTGTATACCTAAAGTGTACCAATAAAAGTATACACAGTTTAAAAAAAATAAAGTGAAAAAAAAATTCCCTTCCCTAAGTACTCAACCTAAAGTAGCTATTAGTATAGTTCAATATTTGCCTTGATTTATTCTCCTGAAATTATTTCATTTGTTTGTTTTTGTAGCTGACCTGTCTCTCTGCAATTAAATACAGTTTTCATGTGCATAGCATTCTAGTCTATTTTGGTAGCCATTGCTTTCCCCAAAGTCTGGAACAATGTTTGGTTCATAATGCACAACCATTGCAAGGTTACTGAATTAACTAATTAGCTAAGTACAAACCTTGTTTTCCTCTGTCAGAGTTCTTATTATAGTGAAATATGATCATCTGTGACTAAAATGTCTCTTCCATTAGACAAACACTTTTTTAGGGGATAGGGTATTGGACTTTTATCTTTGTACTCTCATTTCCTAATGCAGATAGACATTCAATCAATGCGAAGTGACTGTCCCCACCCAGGAGAAAATGACTGAGATGACAAAAGCAAAAGATCATCACGGGCAAGTGGTTCTTACTCCAGAACAAGGCATGAGGCTAAAAAGTGACTTGAACATTGTCAATCAAAGGTCTATAAACATCTGAGCAATGGTGACTGATCCTTCTAGTTACAATCTGCAAGTTTCTGAGAACCAAAGAAAACTGGAAAATTCAACCTTGGTTGGAAAATGCAGAAAATAAAAGACTAAGAAATAGATCAAACTTTATATAAATGGTTTGCTTTACTCAGGATGAAGAATGCTTGACGTATAACCTACATTCATAGATGGCATATTAATTTCTTCAATAAATGTATCCTATGAACCTCTTATGTGCCAAGCATTGATACAGTAACAGGAGTAGGAAAATAAACCAAACCTTATCAGGAAGAGAAGGGAAGAGAACTTGTATTAATTAAGGATCTTTATAGGCCTTCATAAATCAAAAGAATGATTATTAATACTTTACAGGTGAGGAAACTGGGTCAAGGAGAGTTGCGTAATTCTTCCAGAATCATACAGCTGGCAGAGCTGGAAAAAGAAAAAGAGGAAAATGAATTCTGGGAGGAAAGAGGACAATGTCAAGGGAAAAGAACATTGAGCTGGAGAGGAAGGGAGTTTAACAAAAACACGCTGGAGTTGTAGGAAAATGTTGAACAGAAGAAAGGAAGGAAGGTCTGTTAGGGTATTAGTATCTTTAAGACTAATGAGAAGGAACTAATGATGCTGTTATCACAAATATCACAATTTAAGGTAAAACCATGATAGCATCTACTCAAAACCACTATACTAGTTAAGTCTAGTGACTAGACTTCAAAAATGATGCTTGTTTTTTGTTTTTATTTATATTAAACCATGGTGCTTAATTGTATACTCGAAAAGCTTCAGGAAAAGGAATCATCAAATGTTTAGTCTGATATTGTTTCTTTATCTTTGGTTTGCAACAATAGCTGATTTTAGAGTTGATAATAATCTAACAGTCTCTTAAGCAGCGAGGATGGGGTTTCTCAGTCTGTCCCAACAAATCCATGTTGCATTTGAGATTTTGATGCTATTCAGTCATATCAGCTAATTTTTCTTCTCAGGGGATCTAATTAATTACACGTGAGAATTTTAAAAGTACAACAGTGTTCCAATGAATATTGATGCTCTAATCTCCACCTCCATTGAAGTTCAACGATAGTTTGAAGTATCCTCAAATTAAACAGGACTGTTAGTTTTTGTTATACATTTCATATAATATCAATAGCACTGTGAGAATATTTTCTTATTTAAAGGGATCTTGGATTTGTAAAGACTGAAAAACAGGTTGAGAGATTTGTTTGTTCCTTATTATTTTCTCTCTTGAGATTTTTGTCAGTATCAGATGCAGAAAGCATAATTGGATTATTCAATAGATTCTAGTTGCCTCATATAATAAATATCTCTCTAAGCTCAAAAGGGAAAGTATTTTGAAAGAAAATAATTAAATTATTAAACATAATGTTCTCATCCTTTATTTATAACCTCATATTGAAATAAGAGAGAAAAGATAGCTTATAATTAAAAAAGAAAAAGACAATCGTACTGTTAGAGAAAGGGTAAAAGAAGAGAGAAATCTGAACAATGAAATCTATAAAACACATAATAGAAGGAGAAGGGTACATATAAAAGTAGGCTCATGGAAAATGATATTCTATTTCTACAAATGGTTTGAAAAGGGGAAACAGTGTAACTTTTCATCATTAAAAATGGTTCAGATGTATCTCAAAGGAGTTAGCCTAATTTGGCTAGCCAGATTTCACAATAAAACACTCCAAATGCTGCAGCTGCTAAAAACCTCTGACGGATATATCCATCTAGAACATCCCACAGAGCAACGGGGGAAATGAAGAATACTCCTTGTGTGTAGATAAGAAAATAACTTTGTAGTTATGACCTTCTATCAAGAATAATTTTATTTTTCTCCTGTAAAAATATAAACACTCATATATATGAGAATTTAAATTTATTTATCTTATTTCTCCGAACAATTACAAGACAATTCCCAGCAAAAGCAGCATGAGGTCAGATAATTCCCCTCCATAGGGAACAAGTATAGTAGTAGATTAAAAGTGTTTAAATGAACCATTCCAAGGCATTGAAAGTGCCTCCAAAAAGATGAAAATATTGTGAAGATCTCCCACTTAAAAATAATTACCATATGTGGTTGAATAGAGTAGAGAAGTACATGGTATCCTGCCTGAGTGTGTTCTTGTCACTTCCAACCACACTCCAGATGCAGAACCCGAAGCAAACCTTACAGAGGCAGGAAGAGATGAGAACTTGGTTTGGGGCCAGTGGTGAAGATGCAGAGCCAGCTCCACCATTTGATATGAGGAGCTCAATTGAAGGCACTAAGCAGACCAGCTAGAAATTAAATGCAGACATCCTAGAAGCTGACAGGCCATAGAAAGGCTGAGAAAATAACCACCTCTCTACACATCCCTGTCTATAAATCTAGACATGCACAGGGCATACACATGAGCACTGGTGAAATGTGAAAGCCAAGAGAAACCTGAGAATTTTCCAGGTCTTGAATGCATTTCTCTGCTCACACAGCAGTGGCAGCAGGTGAAAGCCTGCCGGGCTCAAAGTGATGGAGCATAAGCTCTGCCTAAATTGCTGTCTGACCTCCAGAGTAAGAAGATACTGGAGAGACCTGCATTAGACCTATCCCATGACCCACCGCCAAGGGATTTCCTCGCTTCCTCTGCTCCAGCACAAGCTTAATTTAATATAGTTTTGGGGCACTAAAAGACAAGGAACAAAAGTAGCTTATTCTAAAACATACCTGATAAGCATCAGGAACTAAGAGAAGGGGAGTGATGGACATGTACCATATAACAAGTGCCCAGTACAGACACACAGAACAAGGCAAGACATGGTTCTTACTCTACCGAGAGGAAAGCACAACACCCTATGGTACAGAAATGAGCCTGTGGGGAAGAGAAAAGCACAGGAGTTGGGGCTAGAGGTGTAGCTAAAGTACTTGCCTAGAATGTGTAAGGTCCTGAGTTCAGTCCTCTCCATCAGAGAGAGAGAGAGGCACCAGCAAGAGTCAGTGGGCACATAACACCACTACCTCCTGAATACTTTTTCATCAAAATAGTGCAACTCATTTAAAAAGGACTGGATAAAAATAATTTATGCTGAACATTTTGTTTCCTTTTCTCTCTGCCAGATTTCTTTGGAGATAACCCACCTCATTTATATAATGAGCCATTGATTCGCACATACATACCTTTCTGTCACCACTAGAAACTCAGAAAGAGTCTCATTTACAAGCTTGATCCTCAAGGAATTGCTTTGCAGACAACAGAGCAGTCTTTATGGAAATAATAGAAGGCAAATCTGGCCACAGTTGAAGGCTTTACTGTATGGAAGTTGGAGAGTTCACAGAAATACTAGAAAAGCTAAAGATCCTGTCTCAGAATGTGGTCAGGAACCAGGAGAAGTTGGGTGGCAGGAAAATACAGCTAATGTAACACTTTGGGGACACTCTCTCAGGGTCACAATGCCAGAACTACTACTGCAGGGTTGTTGATGCCAACAACCTTGGACACAGCCAGCGAATTCTTGATGTTATCTTTTCTACTGAACTCCCACCACTGCCACCATGGAGACTGTCTCTACAATCTTTTGATCTCTCCCTCACCTCTCTAGAGTTCAAAGATTCAAGCCTGATCCTACTAGTTAGAGCTAGTAAACCACCCATACCTAGCTTACCAGGGCAGGGCAAGAAGGACCATTGGTCCATGTATCCTCCATGATAGGCAGTCTAATTCTGCCTTCCATCAATTGTTCAATTTAGCATTTAAAAGAGTTGTACTGAAGGGTTGTACAAGGATTTGAAAAATGATTAGGTTTGTTGTGTTCAAATAATATTTCAGGGAATGGAAAAGAATGACTCATTCTGTAAGGAACATAACCCTTATGAGATAAGGCTTCTCAGGAGAGAACATCTGGGCTGTTCACAGCTGTGGAAGTGGTAGGAGCAGCCAATCATTCTATGAGAAAAAGAAATAAACAGATTTATTGCAGAGTTTTTTCTTCTTTTCTTTGGGGGGTGTGTGTGTGTGCACGCGCACACGCTCCAGGATTCTCATATTCTTCTTGATACTCATCAGTTATTATACATTTTAAATTGAAAAGTCTTTTAAGTATTCCGCCTCCATATAAAATGTATGTTTTTCCATACCCAAAAGAAAACATCCCACACCAAAACAGAGTCACTAGATACAGGTTTTTTTATTCCAGAAACTTTCCTGGATTAATACCTTGATATTATTTTCATGATGGACCATACTGGTGGTTGGTTCCTTAGATGAACTGGTAGTTTCAAGCATGACGAACAAAGCACTTCAGTAAATAGTTGGCTGTATTCACCTTGTTTTGGTTGTAGCAGTTTTGTTTTGGAAACATCCCAAATATTTCAAGTAACTTCCTGTGTGACCACTTTGTTCTTCTAGTCCAGGGTCATTTCCTTAATGAGAGCAGAGGTAGAGTTAGAACTTTCCAGAATCATCAAAAATTTTGTTTGATTCCAAGTTTCTATCAAGCTGTACTTGGGAATATGTCTTTTTTCCCCCCTCAAATCCAAACTCACAATGTTTATACAATTTTTTGTGAAATATCAAATAGTCCTTTCTTCAACAAGGACTGTTTTACAATTTAAATAATTTGCCAACTGAAGCTTAAGACTCTTAACTCAAAGTTAAGAGAGGAATCTGAAGTTTCACAAATTTTGGATTAAATATGAGAGACAAATGAAAGAATATCTTCAAAATACTCCACCTTTAACTTACTGTCACTAAGAAACTCAGTATTCATGTCGTTAAGAAACACATATGGTTTATTTTGTGCCTTTTACAAATCAAAGGAGAAAGTGCTTATATCAGAGCTACAAAAAATTCTTTGATAAATGCTGAAAGAAAAACAAACCAGTTGGCTCTTACATAAATTGGCATTTGAAAAAGTAATTAAAAGGAAGTATGATTTACCCTTTTGCTTGTTCTTGACATGCAGTAAACCCAGTTTTCACCACTCCATCCGGTGATGGCTTGAGGCGTGCCTCCCACACACAGTCAAGGCTTTGCTTAAACAGAATAACGCCATCTCAGACTATTTTCTTTTTCACCCCAGGAGTTCAGAAAGGGCTCTTGGGAGGAATACAGAGAAGGAAAACAAGAAGTGTGTGGCTTGCCCCTCACCAAAAGACATTTCCAATGAAGCTCATCATGAGGCAGCCTCAGCACATCAAGGCAGAATTCTGAGTCACGTTCCACAGCAAAGCCTGTGGTTGTCACAATGGCTGATGCCACCTGGAAGAGAATGCTGTATTGTACTCTGCAGAGAAGTACTTTAGTTAGTGACTCCTGAGCAACTGGTCACACCATGTGCCAGTCCTTTCTTTTCTTATTAATATCCTTGAAGTGCATGATATTCACCCCTGCTTGAAGTTGGTACATGTACGTAAGGCATCTTCACTCCTCTTTCCATCCCCTTTCTTTCCCCTCTCTTCCTTTGTCTCTTGATCCTCTTTCCACTTAAGGAAAATCTATCCTTGTACTTCCTATTACCTATCTTTTATTTTGCTGTTTATTTATAACTTGAGTTTCTCACATAAGAGAAACCATACTGTATTTAAGCTTGTGTGTCTGATTTCATTTAACATTATGGTCTCAAGGTGCATCCATTTTCCTACAAATGGCTCAAGTTTACCTTTCTTTATGGCAGAGTAGTATGTCATTTTGTGTAACTACCACATTTTCTTTATCCATTCTTCTGTTGATGGACATATAGGCTGCTTCTATGATTTAATTATTATGATTTGTGCTGCTATAAACATGGATGTGCATATATCACTGTAATATGATTTTTTTAAGTCTTTCAGGAAGATACCTAGGAGAATAACTGATTCAAATGAAATTTCCTGTTTTAGTTTTTTGAGGAATCTTCATACTGGTTCCTCAGTGGTTGCACTAGTTTACATTCCCATCAACAAAGTAGACTGTTCCTTTCACCTCAGGCTCACCAGCATTTGCTATTATTTGATTTCTTGATGATAGCCATTCTTTTACTTGGGGGATCTAATTTTTTTTAGTTCTGTATATATTCTAGATATTAGTCTTCTGTCTGAGGAACAGCTGGCAAAAATTTTTTCACATTCCATGGGTTTTCTTTTCACTCTGTTGGATGTTCTTTTTGCAATCCCAATCAAAATACTAACAGAATTCTTCACAGAACTGGAGAAAACAATCCTACAATTCCTATGGAACTTGAAGAGACCCAGAATAGCAAAAAAAAAAAAAAAAAAAAAAAGTCCTGGGTAACAAGAGCAAAGCAGGAGACATAACAAGACCAGAGCTGAAGTTATATTACAAAGCTACAATGACAAAAACAGCATGGTACTGGCACAAAAATAGACATGAGGATCAAGGGAACAGAATAGGAGATACAAATACATGCACATTCACCTACTTGATCTTTGACAAGGGGGCAAGAACTTTCTTGAATGCGCTAGAAGGTAATAAGTCTTGTTGAGGTGGGGAGGGAAGAAAAGAAAAACTGATGCTTATTTTCTTTGTTATTTGGTATCTCAGTCATAAAAGGAAGATTTCTATTTCTGGGTAAATTCATTCTTCTCTTCCACTCCAAATCTTCAAAGATTATGGAAAAGTAGGGAAAACAAGTATATAGTGAGTATAGAAAAATTTTTTTAAATAAAGAAGACAATCGATAGACCAGAAATTGCAAATAATTCTTGTGGGGAAGGGCAGAAAACACTAGCAAAAATATGGCTGCATTTATTACACTTTAAATGCACATATGCTAGGGCCAAACACTTACACTTTCACTTGTCTACCCTCCTCTCACTTTATATAAAATGATAAGGCAGGCAAATAGAATATTTGCTGCAACAATAGAGCATTAGTAGAAGTATACTGAAAATAAAATTTGCCCCAAATGGTAGGTCAGAGAACACCAGGAAAAAAGATGGTAATGATACAAAACTCCACACTGAGAAGGTAGACAGCAAAAGAAGCATCAATTAGAAACCAAATAACAGGATGATTTGGGGACAGGTAGATACACTGTGACAACTGCCATGTGGCTAGCAATTCTCAGGCAACAGGGTGGTGAAATATTAAAGAGAAGAGACCAGAGTGTAATCAAATGAGCCTGAGAGAGAGGTAGGTATTGACACCCAGACAGCATTTCCAATAGACTGATCCTGACTGGGTCATTCTGCGGGCTTTTCACATCTGTCGTACACTTTAATGAGCTACTTATCATTAGTGATACATTCTCCCCCTCTGAAATCATTCAGCTTTGTCCTCTGTTCTCTCCACAGCCCAATTCTCTTTCCTTTTATCTAAGTCAGGTCTAACTTACTGGGGGTTGCTCAGGGAAGGTCCAGCCCTGACTTGTCAGGGGAGGCAGTTGATGGAGTCCCACTTCCTACCCAGGCATGTTGACTTGGCACGTTACCCATCTCTGCCAGCCAGTGTCTCTGGCACTGAAATTCCCAGTGGTCCACATCCTCTGCCTACCTCTCCCTTTGCCATAAAAGTGCAAACTCCACCCAAATTTCTCATTATTGGAAATTTTATGGTCAAGGACTCAAGCAATAATACATTGGCACAGGCTTAAACTAGAGTCCTTTGGGACTTAGAGATAGGAGAGAAATGTGATGGACTCGACAGTGTCATCTCCTCTTACCTGTAGCAGTATATGGGATCTGAAGTGGTAGTTTTGTTGTCATGGTTGTGCTCCTTTGATTTCTTTTATTTTTTAATAGACTATTTTTTGAGCAGTTTTAGGTTCACAGCAAATTTGAGGAAAAAACTACAGAGATTTTCCATACATTCTCTGCTTTCGTACATGACCAACCTCCCCCCACCAACCGGGGTATGTTTGTTACAAATGATAACCCTACAGTGATAGGTCATTATCACCCAAAGTCCGTAGTTTATATAAGGTTCACCCTTGGTCTTGGGCATTCTATGAGCTGGAACAAATTTATAATGGCTTATGTCATATAGGGTAGTTTTACTGCCCTAAGAATTCTTGGTGCTCTGTCTATTCATCCTTCTCTCTTCCCTACAGACATAGTGTTGTGATCAAATACAGTCATATTCATTAGTGAATGTTGCAATCATGATTTTTTTTTTTTGTACCGGGGATCGAACTCAGGCCCTTGTGCTTGTGAGGCAGGTGGTGGCACTGAGCTAAATCCCGCGCCCTCAATCATGATATTTAAAAAAATAGATTATATTGAAAAAGTCTACACTTCATAATAAATATAACCCATACTGCTTTGTAAACAGAAGAAGAATTTTAATATCAGGTTTGGCTAAGGGCAGAAACCTGACCATGGATCAAAAAGGAACTGATTTAGAGTTGTGTGAAGTAAACTGTATCTTCTTGTTTTAGTTAAACCTTTGATCTGTACTCACACCAATAGAACCTGAGCATTGCATTAGCTTCCCCGAGAATTTAAACTTTCCATTTATTTTGGAATATTTAAATTCTAGAATATTCAGAGACCATATTAATACGATCAAATGTTTCACTCACTCTCTGCTTTTAATGGTTTGGCCTAGACTTTGTCGGTATGTAATTGATGGGGGAAATTTTTTTGGTAAAATTTTAACCTAAATGTTAAGATAACGGCGACTGTGATATAGGTAAGTATGTAAAATCTACTAAAGGTTCCTGAGGGGTTTTTTTAGGTTATAAATACTTAAACTTTTTTTTTCTTTAAGATGGCAAACAGAATTTTTGTAGCACAATACCTAAAACTTAAGTGAAACAAATACTCTGTAGAAAACAGCTGTTACTTTTTCTCAAATTTAATCCACCCCACAGCAACGTGAATCCTGTTGGAAGCTAGTAAGGTGGAACAATCATATCCTTCACGCCCTCTCCACAGCAGCTAATTCAAGGAAACAAGCCATTGATCCAAGAGATGCCACTTATAGCATCACTCTGGCACTTGGCACTGAAATTTAGGGTCTTCTTTTCCTAGTGATGATTAAACTAAGCAAATGAACACCGCTTCATCTGTAGATCTGGTTTCAGAGACAAGGAGAAGTGCAGTTTGTGGAAATGGAACTGGGATGCAGACATGTGGACGTCAGAGACCAAGAGCAACTTCTCATCTCCTCAACTCCTCACATCCCATTCGTACACTGGATACTGTGTTACATTCAGTGAGAATATGCAGAGTGCTGCAAGAAGGAAAGCAAAGGGATATGTAAGAATAAGCAGTCAGGGGGTGGACTGTCACAAAGTCTTTGTTTCTTTTTTGTTCAGTGACACTTTTCCTTGCTTTAATATTTGTTGTCTTTTTCTGCTTTTGAAATGAGCTCTCGATTACAAAATACCAAACTACACTCAAAAGAAGGTGTAGAAAAAGCCAGCCATTGGCACAGCATGGAGAAGCCTACAAGTAAGGACAGACAGTAGCAGGTGGCAGGAGGTGGAAAGTGACTGAAGCAGTGGTTACACGTGTTCACAGGAAGCTAAAACTATCCAACAGTTTGTCTCTACAGTTAGCACAGGTTAGACTAGTCACTACCACTGGCTGGCCTCATGTGTTTGGGTTCAAATTCTATACAGCAGTGCAATTTCTTCCAGTTAGGAGTTCTTGGCTTGTACCAATCACAGGGTGGCTGGAGGGTACTGGACCAGTTTATTCATTTTTCAAAATGCTATTGAAGACCTGATAGATACATTGAGAGACTTCAGGAGCTCTACATTTCAGCGCAGCATATAATTGGGGTTTCTTGCCTAGATGTGTAGCTCGGCCAAAATCTAAATGTTATTAGTGAGTTTCAGGAATTGGTACAGCATGTCCTGCCCTTCCACATTCCTCTTGGCCATAGTATAAATATTGTTGTTCTGAGACTTTCTGGAAACAATGTCAGCATTTAAATGACATTCCTTAATCTGGAGTTCATTTTCATTGGGAATATCCTTACATGTGGCCAGGAAGACCTGGTGCTCCATTTTGCCATCTTCTACAAAAGCACATTGAGTAGGATGAGGTGGCTGAAGCAGAAGACATGAGTATTGTTTTTAACAGCCAACTGCACATTATTCAGAGATTCCATCTTCATGACTGGGCCCAAGGTGTTGAGAGGCATGGAGGCATCAAGGCTTTAGTTTGGCATCAGTGGTGTATGGATGGCGAGGGGAGTCCTTGGGATGATGCCAACGCTATTCTTGTTAAACTGGATTGCAAAGTTTGTCATATGTTGCAGAGCTTTGTTGGTAAAGTTTATTTCCATATAGATGT